CTGCATGTGTTCCTTAAAATTGTGTTTTTTTTTATCAAAAAGATGAGAGAAAATGTGAAATAATTTTAGGAAATGTTAAATATTATCTGCTGACAAAAAAGTAAAAGGTTAAAATTATGTCCTGACTAGAACTAGACTAAAATGTTGACGGTGTTTGTTGACTAAAACTAAACGAATAAAATAATATTTTCTTGGACTAAAATAAAGACTAAAATGCTCGACTTATAGTTGACTAAAACTAGACTAAATAAAAATGGGATGATGTCGACTAAATGTCCTAAAAACTAACAAGCGATGCTGAGACTGGACTAAAACTGAAACTAAATTTAAAAATGGCTGCTAAAATTAACACTACCAGAGAGAAAGATACTCATAGAAGACACTGATTCTTTGAAAACTAAATATTAATTGCTCAACTATCAAGCAAACTTACAGACAAAGAAGGCTTAACTCATATTCTGAGTAGGGATAAACCAATAACTTCAATTAATTGTGAATTATCAAATAATCAGCAACAAATTCCCTAACAAATAAAAATCGTTAAGAAGCCATTTGCTAAAATTAACTGGAAACTCCACAATAAATACATCTATGTGGCATTCAAAGTTGAAAACCCTTTGGTTTCTATATATATATGCTCTGACAATCTGCCAGCTGCTGCATAAAAGCCATAGCTTTAAATTCACCAGGTTCAAATCTTTTATAAAAAAATATAAAATGAAATAAAATAAATTAAGAACCCTCTGCTATCTGATAATTAATCCACTTATTTTGTTCTCAACGGAGTGCATATTAAGCAAACTGCAGAATGCCTAAGCATTAAATGTTTGACTTTTTTCAGGTAAAAATGCTTGTTAAATTTTTTTATTTAATATCTTTTTAGATGAATCGATAACTAAAAGAATATATAGTTGCAGTATGTACCAGGTGGGTTGTTTGTTTAGAAAATTAACTGTGGTCCCATTAACAATTATTATAAATTAATAATAATTCCAGGTTTTTAAAACTAGAAAGATTTTGGTGGGAAAGGGGCTCAGAGCACCAAAATTTCATTTTCCAAATTACCCATAATGCCATGAGTACAGCCAACAATCTAAGTGGCTGATAGTGTGACGGTATGGCCGAGTGACATACCCTGTTTTATCATGATAGTTTTATAATAAACGTCACTGTTTATTTGAAATTTAAGTGTTTCACATATTTTACTCATCTATTTTTCATGAAAATCCCAATAAGTTTCTGTGTTGCTACATCTTAAAGGAATAGTACACCCAAAACATGATTAGCCCTCATGTTCTACTCACCCCCATGCTGAACAACACTCTGGAGTACCTTTTTGATATCTCAAATGCATCTGGAGATCTGGGAGGCTTCTTGCTGTCTGCTGACATTCAAATAATGGAGGTC